GGAAGTGATGTTGCTTAAATTTTTCTACTGTTTCCAAGAGTAAGTCTTATTCCAACATATATTCTTCATTGGCCTTTTTATTGGTTACATTTCTTTTATATTTTGCAGAACTTTTTTTTTTTTTCCTGCTTATTCACCTTTGAAAGAAGTCATGCTTGTTTTTTTTCTGCTACTTTCCAGAAACGTGGTGGAAACCTCTGGCAATCGTTCCTTTTTATTTGCCCACTTGTTTAAACTTGGTGTTGCATTAAGGACTTGCTATTGGCTATTTTTTTTTTTTTTTGCTTAGTTACTTATCTGCTTATGGTTTAGGTTGTGTGAAAGAAAAGCTGAAAAAAGGAGAAAAATATGGCTTTGTGTACATTACCTCTGCACACACAGTCCTCAACCTCCAATCTGTTGAAATAATTAGAGTTCTGCCCGGGCTTGTAAAATCTGGAATTAGGCAGGAGGTGCTAGGAGAGGCCAATTCAGTATAAAAACCAATGGCTCAAGGACCTTTTGATTATTATATATGTAGACTAGCTGCTCATTTTTCTCTGGTAAATTGTCTTTAATCCGTAGCTACAAAATTCATTTGTAGCATCTCTCTTTAAGATTAGGATTATCTCTAGGTCATCCTCTGGCTGCAAAGCTAAATTCACTGAAGACAGAAATACTGGTCACCATCTCTCCTTTAACTCCGTAGCCCTGGCCATACACATTGATTGCTACTCATTTTTGTGGTGACCTACTTCCAATCTTTGCTCTTCCAAATTGAATATTAGTAGGGTCTTCAAAGACTCTTTCATTCCCCCTCCCCCCCATAAATCTAAGGCCACAGATAGAGGAGATGTGTCTTCAACTTGGCATTCTTCTCCAATTGGTTCACCTTTAGCAGGCATTCTTGCAGTTTGTGGGATGGGATTGTGGCCATTCTATAGTTTCGGGATAAATAGTTTCTATTTTTGTTTTTGGTTCTTTATGATCTTTCAGTAGACTTCAGGAAGAGGAGTTTTAGAAATTTGAATGTTTTCTACATTAAAAATCTATTTTATTATGTGAATAATAAACCTTATTTTTTTGGTTCTGTAATTTTAGTTATTCTACAAATTAGATTTCTTATATACATTAGGCCTACATGTAATTTACATATCATCCTAGGTATGCTATCTTTAAATTTAAAACTACTGCCCTGGCCAGTTTGGCTCAGTGGTTAGAGTGTTGGCCCGCGGACCAATGAGTCTTGGGTTCGATTCAGGTCAAGGGCATGTACCTTGGTTGGGGGGACCTGGTCGGGGTTGTGTAGGAGGCAACCAGTTGATGTATCCCTCTCAAGTCAATGTTTTTCTCTCTCTGCCTCTCTCCGTCCCTTCCACTGTATCCGAAGATAAATAGAAAAATATCCTCAGGTGAGGATTTAAAAATAAATAAATAAATCTAAAACTACTTCATATGTGAAATTGGTTCCATTTTTTTATTCAATTAGCAATGGGCAAAATCTAATTTGAATAAAACATATTTGACAATATACCCCCTATAGAAAGTTATTGAGTTCTTGAAATTATGTCTACTTTTATTTATATCCTATGATTTATTAAAACTATGTAGAGCTTTGGTTATACTATCCTGATGCATTTCCTCCTCCAGAAAATACTGTTTATATATGTGCTATTGTCCTGCAGTCTTCACAAATCTCTAATATTACTAAAACCAATCAAACAGGCCGAAAACATCAGAAACCATTCTTTCTAGACAGGGAAGTAAAAGTATCAACCAAATGAAGGGAAAGATTCCTTGGTGGATCAGTTTTCTTAGTTTCTCACGGCCCTCCTTCCTTCCCCTGTGCGGAGAGTTCCCACTGGTGCAGAGGGGATACAGCAGACACTTGATTCCTTGGTATGAATCCCCAAATCATGCTCATGGAAATTGCTTAAAATCTTACACCAAAAAAGAAACTCAACTTCCAGGAAGACTTTTAATCACTTGAACATTTTGTATATATCAAAACCTCCCAATCATTTTTTAAAAAAAGTTATTTTATGAAAGTTAGGGCATTCTTGGTGATGAATAAAGAATAGCATAGGACAAATAAGAAGCCAGTGCTGGGAAGAGCAGGCGAGCGGGGTAGATTCATGCACCAAGTTGGGCTTCTGCACATCAGCCTGAGTTTCTGGGTCTATTCTAAGCCTCAGTAGTATCTCAAATTACTACATGCCACAGACCTTTGTGGTGCTGCTGGTCACACCTGCAAATATTGTTACCAAATGTACAGCTTTCCAGTATTGGTTCAATGGTTGAATCAATTGTGCTTTTGTGGAGTTTTTTTTAAAAAAATTTTTTTTCTTTATTGATTTTAGAGAGAGAGGAAGGGAGAGAGAGATAGAAACATCGATGAGAGAGAACATTGATTGTCCACTTCCTGCATGCCCCCCACTGGGGATTTGGCCCACAACCTGAGCACGTGCCCTGACCAGGAATGGAACCCACAACCTCTTGGTGCATGGGTCAATGCTCAACCACTGAGCCATGCTGCCTGGGCTGTGGAGTTCTTTTATCTATCAAGGATAAGCAAGATAATTCATATGTTACCAACCCAAGTCAATTACAAAGCTTGTGGTAAAGTTCCCCACTGTCAAATTTTAGCACCAGTTCAGAATTCTCATTGCAAATTTACATTCAATTTTCCAATTAAAATGGGCTTTTGTGAGTCCTCCACTGATAGTCATTGGCTTGATAAAAAGTTATTCATTTTCAGCAAGGGTGTTTAGGGAGCCCAGTGCAAGGCTGACTCTTCTGCTCTTGCCTTGAGCCCAGCTGTGTTGAAATATTACACTTCAGAAAATGAGGTAAATTTGCAACTTCCTGGCTGATACATAACGCCCTTTTCTGTATCTGCAAGCCATCTCCAATGTCGGTTGTCTACACAATTCTTTTCTGCTCTCAGAGAAATAAAATTGAGATTATCTTCCAAATCTCGACAGCTTTTTCATTCAGACTATCTTTCGAATTCAGACTTTTCATTTTCAAGATAATTGTGCCATAGCCTACTTATCTAACAGAATGCTTAAACTTCCAAACATGTAGAATTGGACTACTTGATTATTTTAGCACTGAATATAGCATTACTTTATTATACTATACTCAGTTAAGCAGCTGGATCCCTAAAAATGTCGGTCTTACATAAAAGTAGCAACATTTTCTTTATTGATTAGTATATAGTTTAGAAGCAGTAGGGATCTATGGAAGGAAATCCATATTTAGTTTTCAGTGTTTTGCCCCTTTCTCTTTAAGAATAGTGTTAGTTCTGAGGTGTTTTTATTTTTTTTCTCTCTCTCTCTCTTTAGTTCTGAGATGTTTTATTCATTGACCACACATTTATTGATCAATTACTATGTGCAGAGTTCTGGTATGTTTTCAACTATATATTTTTAATCAGAACAAATGCAGAATTAGCAAAAAGAAACTAGGCAGCAGATTTTTTTCTTCTCCCTTGATATATATATATATATATTTTTTCAGTGAAAAGAACTGCTGCAACAGCTTTATTGAACCACTTGGCCTACTTGCTCCCCAAACTCTCACATTGGTCTTCCAGGCTAAAACCTTATGCCCCTAGGAGACTCCAGTTGAACTGTGAATATTTTTGTTGCTTGGGAAAGTCAACCCATTAAAGCCTTTCAAAATACCTTTATCAACGTACTGACAAGATGGTAGAGTCCAAAGATTGTTTCTGGAAAAATCTCAAATCTATACAAAAGTAGACTGAATAGTCTAATGAACCTCCATGTAAACATTATAGAGTTTATGGTTTATTGATGTTCCTCAAGGGTCCAGAGGCAGAGGCAGAACCTGGGAGGTGACACAGTGGGAGCTTGAAAGGTCTGCGGGCTACACATGTAGACAGGATGGCTTAGGGCTGAATGAGGAGAGCCCACTCCCAAACTCATAACTGGAGAGCCAGGCTATACTGTTGCATCTCAACAGAATCTAGACTGATACGGTTTAGATCAGGGCTCTGCCAACATTTTCCGAAAAGGGACAGCTAGTACATATTTGTTCAGCTTTGTGAGCCCTATGATCTTTGTCACCACTACTGAACTCTGCGCTACCATAAAATCTGCCAGAGATAATACAGCCACATACAGAACCTTGATAATACAAAGGAATGGACGTGGAGGTGTTTCAATAAAACTACCAAAACAGGCAGGGGCCCAAATTCGGCCCACGGGCAGCAGTTTGCGGACCCCTAAAGATTGCCTGGCCCTAGAAATAGATACTCTGTGCCACTGGGTCTGCGTTTAAGCCAGGGGAGGTTACTGCTTCTATTGGGCACCGGAATCTATCCACTGCCTGCCAAGTTCCTGCCAACCTTCACGCGTGGGACGATCCAGCAAAGCGACTGCACAGTTTTCAAAGTTTTTAAAGTGGGCCGTTTTTTTCCTTCTCCTCTTCCGCCCCTCTCAGCCCTGGCTGTCTACCGCGAGGATGCAGGCAGCGTTGGGGTGCTCATAGGCGGGCTGGTGGGCTGCGGGGAGAAGCACGCGAGCACTCGGGCAGGTGAAGGCGCAGAAAAGTTGGAGCCCAATCAGCACAGTCGTGCTCCCGCGCCCCAACCTTCAGGTGACCCCGCGCGGCGGCGGCGGCGGCGGCGGCGGCGGCGACCAGAGCCCGCAGCAGCTCGGAGCGCCTCCGGGAGGAGCGGAGGCGAGCTCGGCGGATCGTCACTGCTCTCCGAGCGCCGAGCGCCGAGCGCCGCGGTCCAGGGCAGGGTGGGAGAAGTGGCCGAGCCGGGACGCGGCGTCTTCCTGGGCTCCCGAAGACCGTGCGGGCTGGGCCGGGTTGCCCGCGAGCGCGGACCTCGCTGCGCGCGGGGTCTCCCCTCCCGCCGCCGGTGAACGCTGGAGGTGTGCGTGGCTGCGGTCGCGGCTGCGGCGGCCGCGGCAGGAGCCGCGAGTCGGGGCCGCCCGGGCTGCGCGTCGCCGGGGCAGCAGCGGCGGCGGCCGCGCCTGTGGCTCAGGATGCGGCTGGGGGGCGCCCTGCTCGCCCTGCTCGCCAGCCTGCTGCTGCTGCGCCTGCTCTGGGGCTCGACCGACGCGCCCGCCCGCCCCAGGTAACCCACCCGCCCCGCTCTGGAGACCGCGGGCTCCGTGGACCCCACTGTGCACCCCGCCAAACGCCCTGCTGTGCGCTCCCGGGGCCCCAGCCGCTTGACTTGGGCGCGCAGACTTTTGGCGGCTGCGAGGAGGAGCGGCGGAGGCCCAGGGTGGGGTGGGATGGGGAGTCCAGGCCACAGGGCAGTGGGGTACCAGAGGGGCGACACTTGGACCGCGTGGGCATCGGCTGGGGCAGAGAGGGACCGGTCTGTGTTGGAAGGGCCCAAGCGTGCGTCGCTCTGGGCGAGAAAGCTGCAGGGCGGAACCTGCCGTCGGGTTCCCCAGCTGTGTCCTGGGCTCCCCATCCCAGTGCGAGCTTTCCCTCCCTTCCCGCCACGAGCCTCTTCAGACGCCGGGCTTCGGGAGCCGCCCTGGGAACCAGGGTGCGCAGGGACCTCCGGCCAGGCAGCGAGCGCGGTGCCCAGCCTGCCAGCCAGCTGATCCCCGCAAGGTATAACAACTTAGTTTTCTTCCTGGCTTTGCAGGCGCTTGGTGGAGGCCACCCACGGCACCCCCGCAGCGCTGAGGACGCTCCGGAGCTCCGAGACCCCGCTGCCGCGCGCCACAAACAGGTACCGGCGGTGCCGGGCGGGGAAGGGGTGCGGCTGCAACTGCACGATTCGCTTTGAGTTGTCTGGCTGGGATGACACGATTGAGTGTGTGTGTGTGTGTGTGTGTGTGTGTGTGTGTGTGTAAGAGAGGAGAGAGAGAGAGAGAGAGAGAGAGAGAGAGAGAGAGAGAGAATGAGTGTGTGTGTACACTCAAGCGTGTAACTCTTCACTTCCTCAATCTCCCCTGTAAAGCCTGTCCCTTCGGTTCTTGGAACTAAGGGGTATCCAAAAAACAGCTGCACTTTAAAAATGCGTGCTGAATTCCCTTCTTGATCACATGTTAAAAACCCCCAGGAGAAGCAGCTCCAGCCTGTCTTTATTGAGGGATTTGGTTGGTTTGCCTTCTGTCTTTATGCTGTAAAGTGCAGCAGTGTAAGAGTCACATTTGGGAAGATGGAATTCTGTGCACGATGTTGAGAATTTTTTGTTCTCAGTGAATGGAGACTTAAAATTGGTCTCTTTCACTCACATGACTATTTTATCCATGTGCAATAATTATATGGTTTTTATAATTTTTCTGATCATAAAAGTAATACATGCTTGGTGCAAAAAGTTAGATAATATGAGAAATATATAAAAATTATATTCACCGAGTCCTTCCACCCAGAGATTGTATTAAGATTTTGGTCTATATTCTTTCAGTAGTTTTTCCTATATACATGTATTTTAAAAAATATAGTTAAGATTATACTTTGTAGTTTGTGTTCTGCCTTTTCCCCTAAACAATTAGACATATTCATATCTTTAAAAATTTCCCCCAAACACTGCTTTTGATTGTGGCATAATTGGTCATATGAATGTGCCATAATTCATTTAACTCTTTTCAGTTTTAGACATTTAATTTCCTGTTTTGTTTTTATTTTGCTTTGTTTGCTATTAATAATGCGATTAAGTACATCCTTATATGTAAATCTTCATATTCTATTAATTCTCCAGGATGGACTGGTAGAAGTTAGATTGTTAAGTCAAAGAGTAAGTGTATTTTAGGTTCTAAATACATATGGCCAATTGCTTCCTAGAAGAGTTGAATCAAATTACATTTTCACCAGCAGAATGTGCTTCATGCCTCAGCATTGCTATTATTATTGCCATTTTGTATATTGTAAAATATTTTCCTTTTCTTTTCTTCAATTTATCTCTTGTGAATTTCTGTTCCTCTATGTATTCTTCTGTATATTCTTGGCTCTTCGGTCATCTTAAACTTCTGATTGCATGACTCAAGGTTCCCGTGTGGCTTCTGCTTGGTCCTAAGAAGGGTCTGGGGGAACCGGGAAAACATTTTAAAGTGTTGGAACAATACTGCCTCCCACAACCCTCCTATTGGAATTTTACAGCATATTAGAGGCACTAAGAAATCCTGGAGTAACAAAGCTTTTGAGAAAAATGTTGGCCTATACTTTGATTTTATGCAAGTTTGGAATATAGGTAGCCTAGCTTCCCGATGAACTGGGAGCATTCCATCTTTTCCTAAGTCCTGGTGGTTTGCTACACTTTCTGTGGTTGCCCCTTGGGGAAAGTTTGAAAGAACGTACTAATTAAATTATCTGGTCCTGGGCCTTTTTTAAGGCAATTCTTTGATGAATTTTTCAGCTTCTTTTGGCATACTTCTTTTCTACTTGGCATACTTCTTGAGCTAATATAGATAATTCATATTTTTTTCCTGAATGTGGTCTATTTTATTAAGATTGTAAAATTTATACCATTCAGTTGTTTTTAAAACCTGTCTTTTGATCTATTTTATATCTTTTTTATCATATATGGTCTTGATTATTTATGTAGCAGAGGTGCAGAATTTAATCTATACTACTTGGCTGTGTAAAGAAATGATAATTTCTTAATTTGTCCTTTTCCTCTGCCTTCTGGAATGCTTTCTCAAATTTGCCCTCTGTTACTGGATTATTTTTCTTCCTCGTCCACTCTCTGTTTTACCCTATCTGAAACAGTACATCTGTGACATTTTTATTTTTACAGTTTTTTCTTTTTGCAGCCTGAACCTTATCACATCAGTTTACATCTTACAAAGCATTGAAGTAATCTTCTAAACCTCACCTTCCATTTCTTACCTAATATTTTCTTGAGAATGTGAAACAAATGCTTTCTAAAGGTTTCTTGCTTCTTATCATACATATTTTTCAAAAGTAGTATTTTCTCCATATCTTAAGAACTCCCCTTAAGTTATAGAATCTTTTTGTGAATGTTATGGTTTTTGGGGGCTTGTTATTGACTTAGATTTCCCCAGATGAGGAGGCCTCACTCTGGCCTTGTGCTTTCAGACAAGATACTTTAGAACTCCTGGTGGTCACCACTGGGAAGCAACTTCCCTTCTTGGAGAATAAACCACATGAAAGGCTGAACGATAGAGCCCTTAAACAATGTCTTTTTTTAAATTGAATTAAATTACTAGTTTGAGTTTTTGTTTTTGTTTTGTTTCTTTTTTTTTTTTTTTTATCCTCACCCGAGGATATTTTTCCTTTTTTTTTTTTTTTTGTACAGATAGAGTGAGAGGGAGAGAGAGGAAGGGAGAGAGAGAGAGAAACATCGACGTGAAGGGACACATTGAGTGGCTGCCACCCGCACGACCAACCAGGTCCGGGGACAAACTGCAACCGAAGTACGTGCCCTTAGCGGGAACCGAACCCGGGTCTCTCTGGACCGCAGGCTGACGCTCTAACCGCTGAGCCAAACTGGCCAGGGCTGTTTTTGTTTTTTTTTTAATCCTCACCAAGGAGGTTTTTCCATTTTTGTTCAGATAGAGTGGGAGGGAGAGAGAGGAGGAGAGGGAGAGAGAGAAGCATCGATGTGAGAGAGACACATCGACCGGCTGCCTCCTGCATGACCCCAACCAGGGCTGGGGACAAACTGCAACTGAGGTACGTGTCCGTGACTGGAATTGAACCCACAACTCATTGGTCCGCGGGCCGATGCTCTAACTGCTGAGCCAAACCGGCCAGGGTACTAGTTTGAGTTTTTTAAAAAATTGTGGTAAATATAAATAAGTATTATAAAACTTGCCCTGGCCAGTTTGGCTCAGCGGTTAGAGCGTCGGCCTGCGGTCCGGAGAGACCGGGGTTCGGTTCCCGCTAAGGGCATGTACTTCGGTTGCAGTTTGTCCCCGGCCCTGGTTGGTCATGCGGGTGGCAGCCACTCGATGTGTCCCTTCACGTCTATGTTTCTCTCTCTTTCTCCCTTCCTCTCTCTCCCTCCCACTCTATCTGTACAAAAAATGGGAAAATGTCCTCGGGTGAGGATAAAAAAAAACAAACAACAAAAAAAAAACTTACTCATTTGAGTATTTATTTTTATTGACTTTATTGGGGTGACATTGGTTAATAAAATTGTATAGGTTTCAGGTAGACAATTCAATAATATATCATCTGTATAGTGTATTGTGTGTTCACCACCCCAAGTCAGGTCTCCTTCCATCACTATTTATTTCCCCCTTTGCCCTGTTCTACCCGCCACCTTCCCCTCTGGTAATCACCACACTGCTGTCTGTGTCTGTATCATTTGAGTTTTTAAATACTGGGCCTCAAAACTACCTCCTGCCCCCGTGTCTTGATCTCTCGGCTGTCAGAAAGCGCATGTATTCATGGGAGATCCTAGTCAACCTGGACTTCTGCTGCTGCCGGGAATGATGCATGACCAATGTCACCTGAAATCCAGAGAGGGCTGAGGTCCTGGGGCTCTCCCCATATCTGCCACCCCCTTCCTGTCGGGGGTGTAATGACTGATTTCCCTTCCGTCCCTTTAATGTGGCTTTATAATACAGTAGAGGTATAATCTCAGGAGGGTGTAGACAGAGAGCAGTGAATGAGCCAGGGGCACCCAGACAGCCCCAGGAAGCACATCCTTCCTGTGTGGGAGCCTCCACCTGATTTTCTGGTTGGGGCAGACTCTCTCAGTAAAGAAAGGTAGCCGGTGGGAGGAAGATCAAAGTCTCTTGATTTTTTCCTCCCTTGCCCTGCTCTGCTTCAGAGACAGATACGGACATCAGCTGCTGGCTATTGCTCCGTGAGGTTCCACATGCCCTCTCCTTGACGGCGTTTCTTCCCCAACCTGACACATTTCTGAAGCAGCTATGTGAGGCCGTCATTATGTGTAGACTTGTGGACTTTCCGAAGAATACAGGATGGAAGAGAGAATCAGGCCCTGTTGACTCTCTGCTGTCTTATAGCAAACGTTGTAGTAATGTTTTATGCCACATGTTTCTGTTGTCTGTGTTCACACTGGGACCGTAACTATAAACCTCAGAAAATTCAAATTGAGAGTGGACTGAAACAGCTGATTTTCACCCTCTTATCCCTTTCTTCTCCCCCCACCCTCCAAATTGAGGAAGGCTGTTGAATTTTACTTTTGAGAAGGCTATCATTCACTTTCGTATCTTTTTTTTTTTTTTTATCCTCACCCGAGGACATTTTTCCATTTTTTGTTCAGATAGAGTGGGAGGGAGGAATTGAGGAAGGGAGGGGAAGAGAGAGAGAGAGAGAGAGAGAGAGAGAAACATCGACGTGAAAGGGACACATCAAGTGGCTGCCACCTGCAGGACCCAACCAGGACCGGGGACAAACTGCAACCAATGTTCATGCCCTTAGCGGGAACCAAACCCAGGTCTCTCCGGACCGCAGGCCGACGCTCCAACCGCTGAGCCAAACCGGCCAAGGCTCACTTTCTTATCTTTACTTCATTGCTTTTAGTGTCCTGTTTTTAAAAATTCAGTACTCTCTAAAGTTGTCTTGAGTCTGGCTTCTGAAATATTTTGAAATGAGGCTTTAAATCTTGCATTCTGCCCCCTTTCCTACGCCCCAAGCCTGTCCTGTCGAGGCTGAGAGGTAGCTGGCCTCCGTTTTTGCTCTGCCTGTCCCCTCGTGCTCCCAATTTGGAAATGGGTTTCACTGGTGCCTCCCAGACGGTCGTTTTCCACCCCTTTGTTCTCCGGCGCCTAGGTCACTTGTCGTCAGCTG